GGCCTGCTGCATTAGCTAAAACTTGACAAGGAACTGTGGTGGAAGGTAGGCTTTTGACATGTTTTAGATTCTTATGGTAACGTACAGCAACAGTGAAAAACGTTTAAGAAAACAGCATGTGCAATACATTTAATTTCAAAATATAAGGAACAAAGTGGATTAACCTGTGCTACTTCTAACAATATCTTGCAGGTTTGCAACAGTTTTTTGATTTCTAAAGCTGATGTTGTTTTATCCACTGTCCGTTATGTAATGCTTCTGGAAAATTCTGTTACTACATGAAAATAAGCACCAACACATTGCTTTCAGCAAATGGCCACTTAGGTTTATAGGAATTCCCTGAAACAAAAAACCTAGGGTATTTTCATAAGATAATGCAGACCATGAGAAAGCACATTGAGTTAGTGCAAGCAATGAATGTATTTATGCATTGATAGGGGCTAGGTGTCTCTGGATAAGTACACTACAAAATGAAAAATCAGAGGTTCTTGAAATATCAAGGGATTTGAAGGCAGGAAATAGAATTGCCCAGAAAGACATACTACTGCACTTGAACAATTTCCAGAAGACTTTAGAAATAATATCAGCAGCAAAGATCAAAGCAACATGTACTGGGTATTAATATACTAGCATTTGCATATATTTTGTTGATGGCTGAACTTGATTCTTGAACTTGAACTTGATTGATGCAGCATTCAAGTTAGCATAAATGCATCAGACATGGTAATATCAGAGTGTGCTGGATACAGAGGGATTACATGCTGCATGCTGTTTGTTTTACCCTAAAGCATAAATTCAAAGTGGTCTTCCATGCAAATATGCAAGATAAAACTTAAGATATTTTCCAAACAGGAAAAGATTCCAGAGACTTTGAGAAAGAGCTTCAGCAAAAATTTCTGACTGTTCAGCTTTCTGTACCTGACTGCCTTTAATGTCTGCAGCTGCTAACTATTGTGAAGGCTTCCCTCAACTGTGCAAAGATGGACAGGAGTCCATTTTGTCAAACAATTGTCAGTATCATCACTTTACTTTTCTAACTACTGCTGGAGCAGTTTGTGATAAATGTGGTACAAAACAATGAATTGTCACTGTAGTTGTAAAATGGAAATAAACAGCTATTGTCTTTATCCAGCTTTTGCAAGTGAAACAAAAGAGGAAAATATTAAAAGAACATTTTTCACCTCAGGGAGCATAGATTTTTCCTCTTGTAGCATTAGAGGTGTGAAGGCATCACATCCAGCAGTAATTAATGTTAGGCAGCATTACAGGTGACAACTGAGTGAAGGGGGAGGAAAAAGCAAAGTAGAGCAGGTACTTTAGCTACCTTGGGGTAGCTAATGACACATTTTAAAATAAATGATTTATTTGTTAATTTTGTTTAATTATTTTGTTTTATTTTATTTTATTTTATTTTATTTTATTTTATTTTATTTTATTTTATTTTATTTTATTTTATTTTATTTTATTTGTATTTATTCTGAAAATACATATTTTTCTCAAGCTTAGGACAAAGCTGTGATAGAGGTCAAGAGACAGAGACGCAAATAAAATCCTGTACACACACTTCCAAAATCCTCCAAAATAATGATAGATCTGCTTGTGATCAGGGAAACACCAAAGTCTTTGCCAGTTTCAGACTCTTTCCTGATATGAGATAAGGTGATGTCCATAGGACCAAAATGCTTAAAGGAAAAAATTAGCTATGGAATAATTTTTCTCTATCAAAGCAAATGGAAATTCTGCTTACCAGAGAGAAAAATGAGTTGTGGAAGATATCATCAATCAGGCTCTGTTTATAGAATTTGATGAGGACCATTTTCATGGACATTTTCATGCCATTTTTTCTCTGGTCTCAGATTGGCATTACAAATATTTCCTAGTGTTTGCTACTAAAGGGAAATACATACATACATATATATATATATATATATATATATTTTTTTTTTTTTCAGAATGTTGTCCTATCATTGCAATTTATGCTCACCATTTTCTTTTCTACTGCTAACCTAGACAAGGGCTTCATTACCTTTCTAAAACACCCATTCATATTGGGATGCCAATAGAGTACTTTCATGGAAATTTTCTCAGGATGAAGTAATGTCTACTGCATAGGACAAAAGAAGCATACCTCCTTGCTTGTGTGCCACTTCATAAGCAGCCTGGAGGTCACAGTCTTCACAACCAATTAGTAATATCACCCTTGGGAAAGTCTGGAGAGAAAAGTCAGACAAGATAATCTGGGATGAGGGCTGCAGGCAGGACAGAAGTTTGTCTGATTTCTGATGCCATGTAACACAAGTTCACCACTATTTGTTAAGCTATTCCTGTTCAGAAATAACATGATTGAAAAATTCACTTGAAAGGGAATAAAGAAAACAAGTAGTTAGTAATGTTCATTTTGCATTTACAATGGCTGGAGAGCAGGCAAGTGGCCAGCTGTGGCCAGTGGCCAGTGGATACTACTGAGCAGTGGCAGGGCAGCTGCTCAGTAGTATCTCTGAACTAGTCTGTCAATATTATCCATTGAATAAAATTTTGTCCTTCCAAGGAGTGCCTCTGACATAAAAGAGTCAGGTCCCCAGTCCTGAGAGTAACAAGTGGAGCCAGTCTCTAAGCCTGAAATTACAGGTTTATCAATTTCATGGGAGGCAGCAAATATAAGACCATTCTCAGTGAAAACCTGAAAATGTTTCAGACTGTTAATGTCAAATCCTACAATGTAAATAATTTATGCAATGAAAAGAGGTAGGCAGAGCTGAGACTGTATGCTTGGTACCATTGTAACAAACCTGAAACTTCATTTACAGTCTGTCCTGACCACCTCTTGGGGCTGGCCCAGGGCAAACATGGTGGACATGCTCCTGCCAGGAACTAGGCCAGGAAAGAACCTTCCTCTCTGTTCAGGGGCCCATGTTCAAGAAGACATTAGGACTGACAGATTTGTCAGCTAATGGAAGAATATGCAATTTCTGTGGTTTGCAAAAGAGAGATAGTGATAAACATTTCACAAATTAAGAAAATGTCTGTCTAATCTATTTTTTAACAGAGCTATGCTCTCAAAAGACAGTTAAGTACAATATGAGCACACAAAACAGTCAGAATTTGCTCAGTATTTTTGTATTACTGAGAAAGAGACTTTCACTACCTAAAATTCCTGTAGATACAGAAGACCGAAGCATACCTTGGCAACATTGCCTTTTTCCATCTCAGTACTAAGTAAAACACTTCATTACACTGCTTTTGAACTGCTAAACCTACTGAGTGTGGCAATCCTAATGTACATTATCTTGCATAAGAAACAATCCACTTTTCAACGTTTCATACTCATTGTATAGAAAGCACTAATTAACCACCTTAGTTATTGTCGTACACATTGTAGAAGAAATCTCAGGAAGTTTCATGCAAGAAAAAATTTAGGACAAACCTAGCTCAGTTTAAAAATAAACTCCAGGACAAAGTTGTCACATACAAAAATTGTTTTTTTTTTTTTTTCCTTTTCATTATTCATTTATTTATTTATTTTTATTTGACATGTTATACCAAATACATACATAGCTTTTGGAAAGTCAAGTTACTTCATCATCTTGACAAACAAATTACTGAAAGACTCAACGATTGTCACAATACATGCCAGACTACACCTATGTGAAACTTTGTTACTCAGCTGTGTCAGTCTTTCATTGTTTATCACTTGTGAAACTTCAAAATACCGAGTAATGGTAGAATGGCGTTGGCTTTTGTGTGTGTGTGTTTTGTTGTTGCTGTTGCTGTTTTTTGAACTATTTTATGAATAACCTCAAAATCTATTTTGTATGAAATCAGAAACTGGATCAAATTGTGAGTCAGAAGTATTAATAGTATATGTAATTTAGTTCAGAATTTCAAGTATAAAAGTTCAAGTTACTAAGTTAAAGTTTGAATGAATTTGAATTCCCTGGGTGAATGCCTACCTATCTACCACTGCAAGCACTACATGCTTGTATCATCACCCAAACTGTAAAACAGCTGTGCTCAAGTAGCCCACAGTATAACTATGCTACAAGTCCTCAATCCTTCAGCCTTGTGCAAAGGTGGGAACAGCAGCTTTTGGATCTTTAGAGACTTAGACTCGTACATTCCTAGTTGAATTACAACTTCCCTACATATGTAAACAGAAGATCTACTAAAGCTGCCCTGATCTTAATGAATGAAAAGTCTGTGGCTTAGTATGAGGACTATCATTTTCTGCCATTGACCTCTCATTCCCATGATCTTTTCCTGAATGCTCTTCAAAAGCCATTCCTTCAACACTGCAGAGTGAGGCAAAGCAAAGGGTATAATTAATCATTGCTTCCCTGACTTTTCACTGTTGCTGTCAACATATTTTTATATGATGCTTCAGGTTCCTGACATAAAATATTCTCTAATCTGTTAGCATGAGTTTATATGGTAAAGTTCACCAAATCTGTATTTGTTTTAGTAATGAAACATCTATATGAACAGATTTTATTGCTTTCAAAGTAATTTTGGTAACAGAAAAATAAGTGTTTGGGGAAATATTATCTTTTTAGAAATAGCAAAATAATTGTTGTCACTAATTTAATTCCTTGCAACACTTTCAGAAAATAATAGAGTTTTTATGTTATTGTTTTTAATCAAATGAAAGTCCCATTTTAAAAAAATCTCAAATAAGGATAAGGTCCTATGGAAATTGTGAAGACACAACCCAATTTCCATTGCAAAGATACAAAATGGAATGAAAAATTATATTAATTATTTGCATTTTACACATAGTTAATGGGCTAAATGTGATGGCCATGGCAGTAATGAAGAGAGACTTCAGTCAGATTTATGCTGTCTCAGATCCTGCTGTAAAACACACAGCTAGCCTTTCTTTGTGAATTTGTATGTGTATGTGATTTCATTTTAAAAGTAAATTCTTTCATCCTTTACTTTGAACACCTCCTTGCTGTTGAAACTCTAATAAATGAAAGGTATTCTACACCTTACTTTAATTGTAGGTGCTGAAGAATGGGTCATGTCGTCCTTTTTGTATACTTGAATGGATTGTGGCATTCCAGATCCATTTCAAGTTGTGCAACAGCACTTCACATACTGTAGCTGAAGTGCCTTAATTCAGGTGAGATAATTTTTCCATCTCATATTTCTCAATCTACTTTTCACTCAATCTTTTGGTTTATTAATAATTCTTAATAATTCTTAAGTTTTTCCCACTTTTTTTTTTTTTTTTTTAATCTCCAGTATTTCAGATTGAGTAAAGCTCTGGGCTAGCCAGAGTGGGAGATCACAGGAAATACATGAGAACAAAGGCATATTTTTTTCTATGGTATTCATTCAACTTTAGCTTGTGTTCATTTTGTTTATTTGGCTTTTTATTTTTTTCTTTTTTCTTCATTTTTACAGTTGCATTTTTTCAGAGGAAAAAAAAAAAAAAAAGAGTCCAGAACAGTTGCTATCCACCTAAGTTACATGGCCAAAAGTAAGATATAGACACTTAGAAGCACATATTTTAAATAACATTCTGTTATGGTTTAACCCAGCAGGCAGCTAAACACCACACAGCCATTTGCTCACCCTCCCCCCTCCCTCTCTGGGGGATGGGGGAGAGAAACGGGAAAGTGACGCCTGTGAGTTGAGATAAAGACAGTTTATTAAGACAGAGAAATAATAACAACAACAAAAATAATGATGATGATGATGATGATAGTACTACTACTAATAATGTGTATGAAACAAGTGATGCACAATGCAACTGCTCACCACCTGCTGACTGATGCCCAGCCTATCTCCGAGCAGCCGGCCCTCCCAACCCGGCTAGCCACCCCTATACATTGTTTAGCATGACATCAGATGGTGTGGAATACCCCTTTGGCCAGTTTGGGTCAGCTGTCCTGGGTCTGTCCCCTCCCAGTTCTTGCTGCACCCCCAGTCTGCCCACTGGCAGGACAGAGCAAGAAGATGAAATGTCCTTGGCTTGGTGTAAGCATTGCTCTGCAACAAGTAAAACATCAGCATATTATCAGCACTCTTCTCATCCTAATCCAAAACATAGCACCCTACCAGCTACTAGGAGGAAAATTAACTCTGTCTTAACTGAAACCAGGACACATTCATTTTCAGTAATTTTTAGCTGTCAAAGTCCCATTATTTTAGAACAGTTAAATAGTATGGGAAGAAGAAACACATTTTTTCCTGAATCTCTAAACTCATTTCAGTTTATGTAGTTCCAAGAAATATTTAAAAATGAGTACTCAACAGATATATATATATGTCTGTTTCATGTTACTACAGAATAAAATTAACAGCAGGGATCTTGAAGGGAATTTCTCCTGGGGTTTCTATGAAACAATGTCTAGTTCTTTTTGTCAATCGGTCTTTGTTTGAAACTATTTGTCAACTATTTAATAATATTATATATATGTGTATATATATATATATATATTTATTTTTCTTGGCTTTAAGATGTCCAAGATTCATTCATTCAGTTGTATACTGCCATTCAGAGTGTCTTGGAAAACAGTCCTCACTCCAGGTAACTTTATGATGAGGAATGGTTTCATAGCAAAGTATCTTCTGTTTGTTTTCATACCCATTGTCATCCTTCTTTTACAGTGATCAGACTGTGACCCACAGGCCATTTTTAGAAATCTACAGAAGTAACTGCAGCTTTGCCAATACACCATCTACTCAGGTAACTGTCCAGCTTTGCTCCAAACATTGTCTATTCTGTTGCTTAGTGCTGCCTCATGGTGCAAAGAGGTAGGTAGTATGGATCCTTAGGATACAAGGGGGCCTTTGTTAAAGGACCCCCTTCTGTTGCTGTTGTTATTGTTTTGTTTTTCCTAACCTTAAGCATGTGACTATATCTGAATCCTCATTCGTGTTTGTTACGGTGGTACTTCTTCCTACATTCAACACCATTCACGTGTCCTACAGATGTCAGGAATAATAACATTCTTAATCAGAAATAAACTATGGTTTGGCCTATAAATGTAATACATCTGTAGCATGAAGGTTGTGTAGCACATGAAGTCTGTTCCTCTTTTTCTACAGCAGAAAAGTCTGCTCCCTGGGAAGTCTACATAAGGTATATTGAGATGTTTCTCTGTATTGGGTTTATGTGGCAAGGTTTTGGCAGTTCTGGGTGTGTCATGCATAAGCACAGCCCAGCAGCTGCCCCATGTCAGAGCAGAGCCAGCTCCAGCTGCTCCAAAGGGACCTGCCATGAGCCAGAGTCGAGCCATAATTGATGCTGGGTGGGCCGCTGGGAGAACGGAGTTAAGAAAGGGAAACAAGTGCTGGGCAACAGCAGCTGGGAGAGACTACTTCCCTAGGCAGCCTGATCCAATGCTGCACAACGATTTCAGTAAATATTTTTTTCTTATTATTCTATCTAAACATATCCTGGTGCAACTTGAAGCCATTTCCCCTCATCACTTGGTACTTGGGAAAAGAGCCTGATCCCCATCTCGCTGTAGTCTCCTTTAAGGTAACTGTAGACTGTGATAAGGTCTCCCTAAACTTCCTTTCCTTCAGCCTAAACAACCCCATTTCCCTCAGCCACTCCTCATAGGACTTGCTTTCTAGATCCCTCACCATCTTTGTTGGCCTTCTGTGAACATGCTCCAGCACCTCAACATTCTTCTTGTAGTGAGGGGAGCAAAACTGAACGCAGTATTTGAGGTGCAGCCTACACAGAGCTGCGTACAGGGGGACAATTGCTTCCCTAGTCCTGCTGGCCATGCTATTTCTGACACAAGCCATGATGCTGCTGGCCTTCTTGGCCATCCAAGCACACAGCTAGCTCATATGCAGCCAGCTATTGACCAACGCCCCCAGGTCCCCTTCCGTCTGGCAGCTTTCCAGCCACTCTGTCCCCAGCCTGTACTGCACGGGATTGTTGTGCTCCCAGGACCTGGCACTCAGCCTTATTGAAACGCATACAGTTGGCCTTGGCACATTGGTCCAGCCTATCCAGATCCCTCTTCTTACCCTTGAGCAGATCAACAGTCATGCCTAACTTGGTGTCATCTGCAAACTTACTGAGGGTGCGCTTGATCCCCTCATTCAGATCATTGACAAAGATATTGAAGTGAACTGTCTCCCTTACTGAACCCCGGGGGACACCGCTTGTGACTGGCCTCCAACTGGATGTAAATCCATTCACCACGACTCTTTGTGCCCAGCCACCCATCTAGTTTTTAACCCAACAAAGTGTACACTTATCCAGGCTTTTAGCAGACAGTTTCTTGAGGAGAATGCTGTGGGAAACCATATCAAACGCCTTACTGAAGTCTAGGTAGACCACATGAACATCCTTGTTACCTTGTTGTAGAAGGAGATTAGGTTCACACTGAAAGGACCTGCCTTTCATAAATTCATGCTGATAGCCTGTTTACCTGATTGTCCTTTAAGTACTACATGATAACACTGACGAAAATCTGCTCCATTAGCTTTCCTGGCTCTGAGGTTAGATTGACAGGCTTGTAGAAGCCTATGTTGAGTTTGTTTTGCCCATGATAATAATTGCTGAGTGATCTCCCTATCCTTATCTCAATGCTTGAGCCTTTTTCCATCTTATTTTCTCCCCCTTTTCCTTTGAGGAGGGTGACTGAGAGGTCAGATATGATGGCGTTTAGCTACCCAGCAGGGTAAACAGCATATTGTCAGTAACTCTTTGTTTCCAAATAACTGTCAGGACCATCTTGCCTGTTGTGGACTGCCAGTCCAGAGTGTTTCCAGAAATTATAACACGTCACCTATGTATCATCTTGGCTTGCTAATACTGACTGCTGACAAGAGGTGAGGCAACTCACTTCTTCAGTATAATGAATCCCATGTAAATTTTAAAGACCAAATTTCCAAATGTATTCAGAATACCATTTTGTAGTACAGAGAGCTAAAATGCATATAATACTGCAAAGTTATGCATCATTCAAGGTAAACAATAGCCAACCGCATGAAGTTCAATAAGAGCAAGTGCCGGGTCCTGCACCTGGGACGGGGAAACCCTGGCTGCACGTACAGACTGGGCGATGAGACGCTGGAGAGCAGCCTAGAAGAGAGGGATCTGGGGGTCGTGGTAGACAGCAAGCTGAATATGAGCCAGCAGTGTGCCCTGGCAGCCAGGAGAGCCAACCGTGTCCTGGGGTGCATCAAGCACGGCATCGCTAGTAGGTCAAGGGAGGTGATTGTCCCGCTCTACTCTGCGCTGGTGCGGCCTCACCTCGAGTACTGTGTGCAGTTCTGGGCACCACAGTATAAAAAGGACATGAAACTGTTGGAGAGTGTCCAGAGGAGGGCTACGAAGATGGTGAAAGGCCTGGAGGGGAAGACGTACGAGGAACGGCTGAGGGCACTGGGCCTGTTCAGCCTGGAGAAGAGGAGGCTGAGGGGAGACCTCATCGCAGTCTACAACTTCCTCGTAAGGGGGTGTCGAGAGGCAGGAGACCTTTTCTCCATTAACACTAGTGACAAGACCCATAGGAACGGGGTTAAGCTGAAGCAGGGGAAGTTTAGGCTTGACATCAGGAGGGGGTTCTTCACAGAGAGAGTGGTTGCACACTGGAACAGGCTCCCCAGGGAAGTGGTCACTGCACCGAGCCTGACTGAATTTAAGAAGAGATTGGACTGTGCGCTTAGTCACATGGTCTGAACTTTTGGGTAGACCTGTGCGGTGTCAAGAGTTGGACTTGATGATCCTTAAGGGTCCCTTCCAACTCAGGATATTCTATGATTCTATGATTATCTATGCATTACCTACCAAATGCTTTCATTATATATGCCAGAAGCGGAATAGTCACACTGAACCATAACGGGTATGTTTTTGGTTGCTTGTATGGGCCATAAGCAGGACATAAGGAGCTTGAACATCTGAAGCAACAAACACCTAGAGACCTGGTTGGCTCTAAGCTGAATGGTATGCTCTAAACTCTGTGTTTCTGAAAATCAGACTCTAATCTTTTCCCTGTAGCCTAGACAGGAATTTAAAAGGACAGAACTGAAATGTAGTTGTTTTATAGAATTAATGTTTGGGTCTATATCTGTTTTAGATCATACACTTTTTGGATTTAGTCACTTGCTAAATGAGGGATCATTTGAAAGTGCAAAAGTTTTGTTGTAACTAACGTAACTGCCAAGATTGATTCACTGGCAGTGTGAAGATGTTACCACCAGTCCTCACTTAGACTCAGACTGATGAAGTTTCATGTATATGAATATAAGTATGTCATGCATACTTTCCAAACAAGCTATTTTCTCATGTTTTCATCATTGAATATAATTTGTTACTTGGTTTTCTTCGCACAGAGGAAAAGAATGTGAAATTACTTATGTCACATAACAGAAATTGTGTCTGTAACCTTTACTGGAATGGCACTACAAGTTTACATATAGATTCATGGCTACCTTAAATGTGATAGTAAAAAAGGATGAAAAACTGAATAGTCCAGCTGATTTATTTTGCAAGGAGGAAGTTGTTTGTTTGTTTGTTTTCCCCTGAGTGTGAATGTAAAATGTTTTCCTCAAGCAAGTCTGTCAGTTGCAGTAAATTGCTGGCAAAAGATAAAAAGATGCTACAAGTAGGCAGAGAGGTGGAGAGAGGAGTAAGACAAGGACTCAGACAATACTTATGAAAACAGTAGAATCGAAGAGAAATATGCTTAACAGTATTTACTAGCTCTGCTATCATAGCTGTGGACAGTGGCCAGGTTTGAAATCTCTGCTGTTCATCCAATGGGAAAAAATGAATTTCATTGGGAGGATAATTTTTGATTGATTTGAGGGGACATAATGCCTGAGTAATGATGGATGCACAGAATATGTTATAGAAGTCAAATTCAATTACAATTATCAACTCTCAGGGACAAACAACTTCATTTGCTTATGCTGACGTGTTAATTATTCTTTTCATGATAAGTGTTTTGGCTAGAATATGTTTGAATAGATCATTTTGATTTTTAATGACTGTTGATTTTAGTGTGTTGCTTTGATACTTAGATTTTAGAGTAAGCAGAAGTCATACAAAAGAATGTTGACTTTATCCATCAACTTTTTAAACTACATTCTATTCCAGGTAAAGAAGGACAGCTAAGTGGTGAGAAGACTGCTCCACTACTCCATACTCTCCTGGAGAAGCATAACAGATTCAGGCAGGATTTCTGATAAATCTCTGCTTATTTTCAGCCTTGTTACCTGAGGCAGGAGAGAGGTTTGAAACTCCATGCCTCAAGTGCCTGTACAGACTTGCTGCCTATCTGGTTTAATTCCCCCAGTTTCTTCCCTTACCAGAGCTCATATACAACAAAATTCTTGGTCATACTGTTCCTACCCATGGGCATCTGGAGGCCTTACACACTGAATAAAAAGAAGAAGGCCACTAGAGAAGGACAGAAAGAGTATCTGATTGCACAGGTAATTCTCCTTTTTCATTTTTAGTGAAAGATTAGTAAGAAGAAGTAGCAAAGGCAGGATAGTGAGCTGAATCAAAGTCAGTGGCTTTGTGTTGCCCCTATTTATCCATTTATTGTCCTGTTCAGACTAGTTATCTGAGTAAACTTTCAAAAGACTGAATCTTTCAGGAATCACACAGAATCACAGAATAGTTGAGGTTGGAAGGGACCTCCAGAGATCATCTAGTCCAACCCCTTTGCTCAAGCAGGGCCACCTAGAGCATGTTACACAGGATTTCATCCAGGTGATATTTGAATACTACCAAAGGAGACTTCACAGCTCTCTGGGCAGCCTGTCCCAGTGCTCTGTCACCTGAACCATAAAGAAGTTCTTCCTCATATGGTGATGAAACCTCCTGTGGTTCAGTGTATACCCATTAGCCCTTGTCCTGTCACTGACCACCACTGATAAGAGTTTGGCCCCATCCTCTTTACATTGTCCCTACAAGTAGTAGTAGAGGTTGATAAGATCTCTCAATCTCCTCTTCCCTAGGCTAGCTCACTTAGTCTTTCCTCACCGGACAGATGCTTCAGTTCCTTAATCATCTTTGTGGCTCTACACTGGACCCTGTCTGGAAGTTCTACGTCCCTCTTCTGCTGGGGAGCCAAGAACTGCATACTGTATTCCAGGTGTGGCCTCCACAGAGCTGAGTAGAGGGGGAGGATCACCTCTCTTGACCCACTGTCCACATTCCTTCTGATGCATGCTATGATCCCATTGGCCTTCTTGACCACAAGGGCACACTGCTGGCTAATTTAATTAATTTGTTGGTTTAAATTTCTGGTTAATTTGTTGCCCATTATGACCGCCAGGCCCCTCTCTGCAGAGATGCTCTCCAGCAGGTCAGCTCCCAAACTGTACTGGTGCCTGGGGTTGTTCCTCAGTGGAGCCCTTGTTGAACCTCATAAGGTTCACAGAATCACAGAATCACAGAATTTCTAGGTTGGAAGAGACCTCAAGATCATTGAGTCCAACCTCTAACCTAACACTAACAGTCCCCACTAAACCATATCCCTAAGCTCTACATCTAAACGTCTTTTGAAGACTTCCAGGGATGGTGACTCCACCACCTCCCTGGGCAGCCTGTTCCAGTGCCTAACAAGCCTTTCAGTAAAGAAGTTCTTCCTAACATCTAACCTAAAACTCCCCTGGTGCAACTTTAGCCCATTCCCCCATGTCCTGTCACCAGGCACGTGGGAGAACAGGCCAACCCCCACCTCGCTACAGCCTCCTTTAAGGTATCTGTAGAGAGCAATAAGGTCACCCCTGAGCCTCCTCTTCTCCAGGCTGAACAAGCCCAGCTCCTTCAGCCACTCCTCGTAGGACTTGTTCTCCAGGCCCCTCACCAGCTTCGTCGCCCTTCTTTGGACCCGCTCAAGCACCTCGATGTCCTTCTTGTAGTGAGGGGCCCAAAACTGAACACAGTACTCGAGGTGCGGCCTCACCAGAGCAGAGTACAGGGGGACGATCACCTCCCTAGCCTTGCTGGTCACAGTGTTTCTGATACAAGCCAGGATGCCGTTGGCCTTCTTGGCCACCTGAGCACACTGCTGGCTCATATTCAGCCGACTGTCCACCATCACTCCCAGGTCCTTCTCTGCCAGGCAGCTCTCCAACCACTCATCTCCCAGCCTGTAACTCTGCTTGGGGTTATTGTGCCACAGGTGCAGGACCCGGCACTTGGCCTTGTTAAACTTCATGCAGTTGATCTCAGCCCATCGGTGCAGCCTATCCAGATCCTCCTGCAGAGCCTTCCTACCCTCGAGCAGATCGACACACGCACCTAACTTGGTGTCATCTGCAAACTTACTGAGGGTGCACTCAATGCCCTCGTCCAGATCATTGATGAAGATGTTAAAGAGGACTGGCCCCAGCACCGAGCCCTGGGGGACGCCACTAGTGACTGGCCTCCAACTGGACTTGACTCCATTTACCACGACTCTTTGGGCCCGGCTATCCAGCCAGTTTCTAACCCAATGAAGTGTGCGCCAGTCCAAGCCAAGAGCAGCCAGTTTGTTGAGGAGAATGCTGTGGGAGACGGTGTCAAAAGCCTTGCTGAAGTCAAGGTAGACCACATCCGCAGCCTTTCCCTTGTCCACCCAGCACGTCACTTTGTCATAGAAAGAGATCAGGTTCGTCAAGCAGGATCTGCCTTCCATAAACCCATGCTGACTGGGCCTGATCGCCTGCTTGCCCTTCAAGTGCCGCATGATAACTCCCGAGAAGATCTGCTCCATGAGCTTCCCTGGTACTGAGGTCAAACTGACAGGCCTGTAGTTCCCCGGGTCAGCCCTCCGGCCCTTCTTGTAGATGGGCGTCACATTTGCTAGCCGCCAGTCAGCTGGGACCTCCCCCGATAGCCAGGACCTCCCCCGACAGCCAGGAAAAATGGTTCCTCTTGGCCCCACCTTCCAGCCTGTCCAGGTCCCTCTGAATGGCTGCACAGGCCTTTGTTGTGTCAGCCACTCCACCAAGCTTTGTATTGTCTGCAAACTTGCTGAGGGTGCACTCAGTCCCTTCATCCAGGTCACTGATGAATAAATTCAACAAGACTGGGCCCAGTACTGCCCCCTGGGAACATCACTAGCCACGGGCCTCCAACTAGACTAGGCACCATTGAGCACAACCCTCTGAGATCTGCCTTCCAGCCAGTTCTCAATCCACTCTAATGCCCAGTCATGGATCCCACACTTCCAGAGCTTTCCCAGGAAGATGTTATTGGAGACAGAGTTGAATGGTTTGCTGAAGTCAAGGTAGACAACATCCACTGTGGTTTCTGCATCCATTCCTCCAGTCATACCATTATAAGAAGGCTATCAGGTTAGATAAACATAATTTACCCTTGATGAATCTGTGTTGACTGCTCCTGATCACATTCTTATCCTCCACATGCTTAGAGATGGCCTCAAGGATGAGCTGCTGCATCAGCTTTCCAGTGATAGAGGTGAGGTTGACTGGCCTCTAGTTTCCTGGGTCTTCCTTCTTGCCCTTCTTGAAGACTGGAGTAATGATGGCTTTCTTCCAGTCCTTAGTCCTTCTGGCGGAGAACTTAATCCTTTCTTATTTCCTTGCTGAAAAAGTAATAGCAGAATAAGAGAAGGATAAGAAGACAGCAAATTAGCAAAATTAGCAGAATAAGAGAAGAATAAGAAGATAGCAAATTACCAAAATCTTAAATTTCTGTTTCATGGGCAATTCTGACATTTCATCTGACAACAAATTTAACTTCTACATTTTTCTCTCCATCATGGAAAAACCCTAAATATTTATAACATAATGGCTATTCATTGAACTTCAAAGTTTTTTTTGGGGGGGGGTCAACAAAAAAATATTTAATCTCCTCAACTTCCATAGGATTAGCATCCAATTTTTCTCTGTGTTAGTGTCCAAAAGAGGAGGGGGAAATCTTTCTATTTCTAGATCAATTTCATTGCTTCAAGATTTTTTCATGAACTGCAAATTTAATAAGAACTTGGGGGACCAATACAGAAGGAACTCCCGGGACAAGTAAAAGATGGCATCAATCTGTAATCTTCTGATAAAAAATGAGATAGCTCATTCAGGAATCCAGGAACTACTTCTTGTGCCCAACTCCAACTTTTTCATTAAAAAAAAAAGAAAAAAGAAATATCAAACAGAAATGTTTGTGAGATTAGGTATTCTGCTCATCTTCTGTGACTCAAATTCTTAAAATCTTATAGTGGGTACTAAAGGCACTATAAAATATAAAATGAATGGATAAGACGGAGAAAAAAAAAAGAAATTTCAAAACTATTCTAGAGTATTTCTTTAATCTTCAGATTAACTTACATGCTCACTTGGGCTACAGTTAAACAGAGTATTGCCCTTTTCCCTTCAGTATGGTATATGGATTTTAATAAAGCATGCTAGTCACTTGGAATATGGAAGCAGTTACAAAGGATTTAGCAAGGAACAGGCTGGTTATCTATCACTATCTGAGGTATCAGACCTTGCATTGGAGCTAGAGACTCAAAGTAGTTGTTGTGGTTTAACCCGGCCAGCAGTTAAACACCACACAGCCATTCGGTCATCCTCCCCCCTCCCTCTCTGGGGGATGGGAGAGAGAAATGGGAAAGTGACGCCTGTGAGTTGAGATAAAGACAGTTTATTAAGACAGAAATAATAACAACAACAACAACAATAATAACAATACTGATCACAATAATAATAATAATAGTACTCCTAATAATAATGGATACAAAACAAGTGATGTACTATGCAATTACTCACCACCCACTGACTGATGCCCAGCCTATCTCCGAGCAGCCGGCCCTCCCAACCCAGCTAGCCACCCCTATACATTGTTTAGCATGACATCAGATGGTGTGGAATACCCCTTTGGCCAGTTTGGGTCAGCTGTCCTGGGTCTGTCCCCTCCCAGTTCTTGCTGCACCCCCAGTCTGCCCACTGGCAGGACAGAGCAAGAAACTGAAAGTTCCTTAATGTAAGCATTGCTCTGCAACAATTAAAACATCAGCATGTTATCAGCACTCTTCTCATCCTAATCTAAAACATAGCATCCTACCAGCTACTAGGAGGAAAATTAACTCTGTCTTAACTGAAACCAGGACACTTATTTATTTATGTGATAACCATAAAATACATCTTCTTTGTATTGTACTGCAGCAAACATCTTAAACTGTGTTCAAAGAAACACAATATATGTAAACAACATAATGGGGAAAATTAAAAAAGTTAAATAAAAATGTCCAGAAGACTACTGCAAAACACTGAAGCAAAAGAATGTCACTCCTTCCAGATAACCTTTATTTCTTCAGAGACTGTTGACTTCTGGATGTGTAACACACATCTTAATTTCTAGTTTAGTCTCTGGGGCGAAAAGATACGCATTATGTTGTCCAGAGCTATTCAACAGGTCATGGATAGCACTTTGACATTTGTCACCCCATATCTTCCCTCTATTCATAATATACAATGGA